TGGCCTTGCATCAGTACCTTATCTAATCTGCATTCCTTGGGCCTGTGCATGAATCATTACATGGACGACTGGCTACTACCGGCCCCATCTCGTCAGTTGGCAGAACAACATACCCAGATTCTCATTTTAGAAGCCACAAAGGCAGACTTCCTTATTATAGTAGATAAATCCATTCTATCACCAACTCAATACCTTGTCCCTTGGGACAAGCCCATATGAGGTCATTTCAGTGGTCACTGCACTACCAATGGATCATTAACTCTGATCCATTGGATCATCCAGTCTCCTTACTCAAGAACAACATTGCAGATCTCGAGTGGTGGTTGGATTGGAACAACACTACTATTGAGGTACCAATTCTGCCTCCTCGTTGTGAGATCCATAGATTCACAGATTGGGTGCTTATATCCATGGTCAGGATTTCCACAGTATTTGGACAGCCTATGAGTTTTCTCTTCACATCAACATTGTCGAACTACTTGCTGTACACTGAGCACTGGTTCAAGGTCTGTCTCTTTTGAAGGGGAAAGTAGTCATAATCTATTCCAACAATTCCACAGTGGTATCCTATATTTCTCGTCAAGGGGCACACATTCTCGAGATCTTTGCTTTCGAACTTGGGATCTTCTCTACTGGGATTGCTCCCCTCTTATAAGCCTCTTAACATTCCATGTTCCCAGAGTGATGAATTTGATTGCAGATCATTTGTCTCTGCCCAACCGGATTCTTCCGACCGATTGGATGCTACGTCACGAGATTTTACAGTAGATTTGCTCTCAGTTCGGGTCTCCAACGATAGACCTCCTTTGCAACTCATTGTAATTCTCAACTGCAGTTGTTTTGGTCCCCATACTTCATCCTCAAGCTTTAGCAATAGATGCATTCAGTCAGGACTGGATGGGTTTGCATCTGTATGGCTTTCCCCCAATTCGTCTGTTGCCCAGAGTTCTAGCTATGGTTTGTTCCACTCCTTGTCAGGTTCTTTTGTTAGCACTGTTTTGGCCAGCTCAAATATGGTTTCCTCTTCTTCAATATCTGCAAGTGTGTCTGCCTCTACCACTTCATCTATGGCCATTTCTGTTGAAACAACTTCGATCCAATGTTCTACACCTAGATGTTCAGAAACTCAAACTTCATGCCTGGAAGTTATGTGGACCTTTGCCAGACATAGGGTTTAACATCTAAAGTTATGTTGTACTTGACTAAATCCCTCCATAGACCAACTATGGCCATTTATCAACGAAAATAGCACATTTATTGTCAGTGGTGTATAAAACGGAAATTCAATCCATTTCATCCAAAGTTTTATGGCTTGGATTTTCGAAAGAGGTTTGGTTTGTCTACTGGGGGTCTTATATAAAGCATCCTTATTGACTACTTTTCGATATTCCAAATATAGGAAGGTTTTGACTCTCCAGTGATATCTAACCTATTAAAATATTTTCATGTCCTTAGCCCAAACGGCCTTTTCAACTGCCTTCGAGTCTTTAGCCTCCTGTTCTTTGTATCACCTTTCAATTAAGGTATATTTTTTGTTGTTGTTGGGATGTGGTCGTTGTCGATCGGAATTATTTGCAATACATGTACATAGGACTTTCTATCATTTCACTTATGTCTTGCTTTACCCTGATAGGTCCTTCCTTCCTTCCAAAGACTCTGGCAACCAGAGAGGGGAAAAAAATCCTTCTCACCCATTCACTTGCCAGTCATTTCTCACCTTTATGACCACTTGGACCCTGATCATTTGTTATGTCCTATCAGGGCCCTCAGGTGTTATGTGGCTTGTACTAACTCATTTTGGGATACTAGGAATGGACTATTTATTCCATGGGATCCTTCAGTTTCCCAGGATTTATCCCCCATTACATTAACGAGGTGGCTTCGAAAATTGATTCATATTGTCTACCCGGGTCTCTGGATTTATTTCCCAGATGTCAGTAGAAGTGGTGCTAGGTTCCATGAGAGTCTTCTATTTAGGGAACTTGGTTCACCTATTGCACTGTTTCCAGAGCACTGTTCCTCAGGGCTTCCCAATGCACATTATCCCCAGATTCTACTGGTGGAGTGAGGGAGTCCTTACCAAACCTGTTTTCCAGTCACTGGGGTGGTGGATAAAGGATTTTCCTCCAGAGTGTTAGAGTGTGTTTCTCCACTCTTGGAGAAGAGGGCAAAGTTATGGGCCCTTCTATCTGGGTCCCTGGATGTATTTCCCAGATGTCAGTAGAAGCAGTGCTAGCCTCCATGGGAGCCTACTTGTAATACCAGTTCAGATTTGACCCTATGCTATCTGGTTGGGGTGTGCATGGCCCTTATGAACAATGTCAGATTGTATATTGTTCATGGATGGAGGTCCGCCATCACCTCATAATTCAGAATGTGAAGTGGTCCCATCCTAGGTCCTTGGTTGAACACAGTGTTCCATGTCATCTCCATAATTCCGGAGTCAAGTGGAAGCTCCTTGCCCATACAGTTGAAGAGTTAGGATGAATGTTCATAATTCTAAACCAGATGAGTTCTGT